TTACTTCATTGTCTTCTCTTAAATTAAAAAGAAAAGTCTAACTATTACAATAATACTCTTTAAAAAACAGATTTTGTGATAAAAATATTGAGAAAAAGTATCTTTTTTTTAAGAAAAATGCAATGAATGTAATCGTGTTACAGAGCTTATATGATCACGTGTATTTATGAAATTTAAATCCTTAATTCTGTAACATATACTAACTCAATAAATTTCATAAATAGCTTCACGTACACGCAGATAAAAATTTAGATTAAATACATCAATGTATATAAAAGAATATGTACTCTTTGAAAACATATTAAATTTGTTAAATTTGAGTATTTTGGCATTTTAAATGCACATGAAATAAATATACAGATGTAAAAGTTACTGAAAAAAATTATTTTTTTATTTAAATATTGGACTATTTGATAAAAGTTATACCTATTAAGAAGTTCTTCATATAGGTATATATTCATCGCTATTCGAAAATTATGCTAACTAGTCGACATAATGTGTCGATGTCATACATTTGGCGCCAAATATGTGACGATGCCCGATGTTAGACGCCAAATATGTGATAGGGTCTCACGTTAGGCGCCAAATATGTGACAATACTTAATGTTCAGTGCCAAATATGCGACAATATATGAGATTTGTGTACCTATAAAATACGTGCAGAAAGCAGAGAACAATGAATTCATAGCAAATCCAATGAAAAAAAATGTCTTTTACATTAAATTCTATTTTAGTGGAGACTCTTATAAAAGGATACAATTTAATTAATTACTATGTATAATCTCTGCTAAAATATGACTTTTTTTAACTTATTATTTCCATTTTTTCAAATTATTCGCTAAAACATCAGAAAACTATATTGAATTTAAAGAGATAAATGTTTTATATCCTTCAATAATAATTAACTTTAATCTACGGAAAATGTTATTATATCATTTTAATTATGCGAAGCTATCGATAACTGCTCAGATAGATGGTGCATGCCATTATCAAGTTACAATTTTTCCAAAAATTAAAACAGTAAAAGAAAATAGTTAGGTTAAATTTATTATATACATTTTCCTGAGTACACGTAAGCAATAATAATCTGAAATACAATCGTCGCTTTGTTAAAGGGATTTTAAACTAAGTATCCAAAATGCTGCCAAATGAACAAGATATTCATATACAAACATATATATTGTAACGTATACATAGAGAAATTTAAATTAAGGAGAGATTCTGGTATAAAAGGTTCAACAAACCATTGTTTTCCCCTTTCCTTTCCTTTCCTTTCTTTTTTCTTCTTTTTTTTTATAAATCAAAAAAATAACATATTAAAAATATGCTCCCAAAATTTTTGAATGGAAGAGAACTATCGAATCAACTTTAGAGGATGTTCATCCAAATTTCTTCAAGAATTATACTTAAAATTTGAACCCTATTTTTATATGTATTTTCCTTTCGCATGTCAGAAATTTTGTAGTTTTTGAATCGTTTTCTTTTCTCAAAATATGTATAATTTCAACTTAATCTATTTAATTGTAAGATCTTACATTTTTAACTTTTCGATAGATATCACATAGCTGTGACAGATACTGTATTACACGCCAACCATGATTACATTACCGAAGTGCATTACAAAATCTGTACAAGATCTTTCAATAGAACATAAGAAAAATTGAAATTAAAAGACCTTCTCTTGTAGTATTTTGTATTTTTTTCTCTTAAAATTTCTGAAAGATTGATTTGCTTCTAGTACTATACAATCGACCTTCAATTTCACATAGATCACACCAATGAACTATAATAATTAATTAGAAGTAAAACTTTCATTGGATGAATGAGCACAATATTATACACTTAAGATAAATGAAACAGATAGTTAAAATATCAAAACATCAGGATAAAGACTGTACTCGATTTTTCGATTTTAAGATGCATTTAAAGATCTACCGATATTTATAATTAACTTAGTATGAAAACAACTATTAATAATAAATAATACATAAAAACCTTATTTATTTGTATGTTATTCTAACAAATTTATTATACAATTACTAAAAATGTATTCACATAATCATTATTAGTGGTTTCCAAATCTTTGCCACTGCATAAAATATCATAAAAATTAGAATTGATTCACAAAGATTTATATATTATTACAATTTAATAATATATAATAACTGACTTATATTAAATAAATTATTGTCTACTTTAATTAGTATGACAACTAATCATTAAATATTGTGCCGAAATAATAAATAAATTATGCTCAAGGAAAACAATTACGATGTTACAGAACATCCCATAAGAAGATTAATAATACCTAATTAATTATCTAATATATAGTCATTGTATAATATAATATGAATTATTATATTAAACAACATTGATCGATATACCCATAATTAAATCAAATTAATCATTACCTAAAGTATAAATATCTAATCTCATGTGTAAACGAAAATAATTAACTCTTAATGATTTTAACAAATAAATATGCACATATATAATATCAATATTACTAAAATCAATAGAAACGTAGTTGTAAATAAATGTTTAGTTATTTAAATGTAATAAAAAATAAACAGCATAATATTGAATTTGTGGTATGCAAATTCTGTAATTTTATAACATCCTGGAAAAAATACAAAAATCTATTGAAAGTAAAAATGTAATATTAAGAATAGTTCGGAGTTTTTCCCGCCATAATCTTTGCCTAATAAAAATGCAGTTCAACTTATTTTATACAACTTAATTTATACACACACAAATTTTCTATAAACACCTAATAATATAAAAAAATTGAACAGAAGATATATTAATGAAAATTTTAGCTTTAGTTTTAATATAACATTTTATCTATTTATAATTTGTATAACCTACGTATATAGGTAAGTAAAGAAAATTAATATTTTGAAAAAATTTTGCATGTCTCTGACGATTTAGAAGACAAATATTTCTTGACTAATTGTTATTTGACATAAAAGACGCCATTATATAGCCGCAACGATTTTTTTACAGGCGCAGTTATTTATGAGACAAGAAAATCATATATATTTTGCTTATGACGTACCATATTTTTACATTTACTTGTTAACAATTGCGCAAATGTAGAATCTTAACATTGAATAACATTTATTTATGTTATTCTATCTGTATGTATTTATACGAAATAATTTTCATTCATAAAGTTTTTCTTTCACTTTTATATTTCACTAGATATTTGAGGTTATAATTTCTATGAACCATCTCACATATATGAAACAAATATGATTGAACATGTACTTTGAATATACATTTTTCATAATTAATCTATTATCAATGAACAATTTATTTATGATAAAAAAAAGCTAATATTACATATTATATATTATATTACAATAATATTATGACAATATATGTTATATTTTGTAATTAATTTTCTCAGGCTGTTAGTAGAATTTAGATATAATATATGTAAAAATATAAAAACATCAAATTTAGATGCAATGAATGTGTAGAGCTTAAGTTATTTTGTAGAATCATCCAAATATCTTTTAAAAATAACATTTCATTCGTTTTTTTTAAATTTTATTACTTTTTTACATATGTTTCATAACATTTTAACATATACTTTCAGGGATATATATAATTATAACCTAACACCTTTGTTAAAATTAATCTTTATTCTTTCTTTTACAGTTACTTATTTCCCTTATACCAAGTCATAATACTTTATACAATACTTAGTAGAAGTATATTAATACTCGTATTAAGATAAAAAATGATTTTAATTACTAATTTAATTAATATTTACTGCGTTAAATTATTATGTGCTACATTCATATACAAATAAACATTATATTAATTTAAATTTATTAATGCAAAAAAGCAATGACAAAATTTGAAATACGAAGCTTTCTATTGGATCATTTTCTTACACATTTCTAGTACCAAAAGCAGCGACTGTTTTGAAACACGTCTAAAGGGTTACATAATGTCTATTGCAAGTGCCTAATTTCATTCCAGGTTCCGGCAAAGCACCACCCTCATTCGTTTCATTTTGGCTTTTCTTATCCCACCTTCATCGTCTTGTACTTTAATTCCTGCTTAGCCACCTCCTTCCCGTAGCGTTCTGGGGCTAACAGTAGCTATTTTCGTTTCTTAGCGACAATATAGTAGCTACTGCTTAACCGTAGTCTATTCGAGTCACCCTCTTCTCTCCCTTTTTCTCGTCTTTTCCTTCCGTTTCTTATTTTACTATTACACTTTCCATTTTATTTTCCCTTTTTAATTTCTCTGTTTTTCTTTTTACTGTTTATATTTCAATGTTATACAATATTTACATAGCTGCTTCTGTACGAGTAACATGAAATTTGTTGAGGTTATATAAAATAATGTCGATGAAAGAAGATAAAAAGCAGAAGAAGAGACGAAAACAAAAATAAACAAAACCATTACCAAAAGCGAAATCAAAGGAAATAACATTCTATAAAATTTAGATCTACATGAAATCTATAAACATATGGAAAGATTATTTTTATTTATAAAATATTTAAGAAATTTATTTATTTATTATTTTACCGGATTAGTTATGTAAAAATAATTATTATTATTATTCGTATCAGTAATTTTTTCAAATGTATTATTTTCTTTAAATATATTTTCCTAGATTATAAATATCAGTTAATATTTGAAATTATCATAACTGATAATTATAAATATAATATAATACTTTTTATTCTCATCATAAAATCAAACAAAAGAATACGAATTTTCAAAAGGTTTTTATATAACAGAAGTACTAAATCACATTTTAATCGTAAATTAATAATTTAATTAGAAATTACATATCAAAATGTAAAGAAAACTTTAATATTTGATTATTGTAATCAATTACCTTTATAACAGAATATGTATTTTGTTTCATTGAAATCATTTAAACACAGTTAAATGGCATACTAGTGACATCTATTAACCTTTTGTAAAAGTAAAATGTATTGTGTTAAAATGTACCAGTTATAGGTGTTTAAAAAATGATATTAAATTGTGTCAAACAATGTTTCAACGAACTGATTTATTTTATATGCTTTATTTGTATGCTATAATTTTACCAAGTATAGTATGTTGTGAAGAATTAGATGCACGAATTTCTCTAGAAGTTGAAGGGACGGGATTTCATAGGTTAGTTGTAATAAAGTGCAATCGAAAAAAATCTGTATTATCCAATTTCATTAAAATTTACTTAAATATATTTAATTAAAATGTTAATACATAATGCATAATATACAAATAATATATAATCTTGCATTTAATTCTCTTTGTAAGTACCAGATAAATTTGATCAAAATTAGAATTTTGTTTGGGTAATAATAGTTATGAATAAATATTTTTCGTACAAAGTTATTACTTTAATATTAGAATTCTAAAATATGAACTAATGAAAATATTAATTAAGACTATCCAAGAGTCTTGCATTGTATAATGCATGATATGTCATTGTATTCAAGACGTAATCCACGATTCTAATAAATGGGTCTGTATAAATTGAACGTAGTAGATCCGCTGCATATGCTCAAATAATATAAACAATGCTAGTACATGTTGAAACTAAATCTATAAAACATTCAAAAACTTATATTTGCAATGATAGAGGAAAAGTTAAAGAAATATTCAAACAAAAGTTTACTTTATAAAGATTAATTCCAAATTAAACACATTGATAAATATAAACGTAATAAATGATAAGTAACATTATTAATTTATGTCAATCCAAAACTTTGTCTATTTATATTGATTCTCATTTCTTACAATTTTGCAATTTTTAATAAACAAAATGAACATGTTTTAAATAACACATTAATATGTTAGATATCTTTATGATGAATTGGTAAAAAATGTTGAGTTTGATAAGTGCTATTTAATAATATCGTGTGATATATGAAATGAAAAATATTTAGATCAAATTGTATTAGTATTTTGTGTATTAACCTACAATTCGTATCTTAGAACAGTCTCATTAGAAGATTTTGGGGCTATTTAATACTGATGTAGAATATGTAATAAAAATAATAATATAACTTATTATTGAAGAAAATCTAATTATATATTATTATATATATTTGGTAACAATAACAATAAATACTATAATGTTTAGATAATAAATGCATTTGCATAGACATAGTAGCAGAAATCTCCTTTTGTTTACATATAATTAAACAATTCTGTAAAATTTGTTATCATAACCTTTCAAAGTATAGTAAAAAGTAATGATTTTGCTTAAATAATGTTTATAAGTTAATTGGGAATAATAATATTCATATATGCAAAACAAAAAATATTTAGTCAAATGATAAATGCATGAACAAAAAATAGTTGACTTAAATCTTTAGAGTATTGTAGATATAAAAAAAAGGCTTTATAAGCAAAATGTACCTAAATGTCTTCGGAGTGATTACATGAAAGTAATAAAAAATTATAAAATGGAAGAATATGTATAAATATATGGATGACAAAATATATTTAGGAGATTTGTTAGTGAAGAATAAAAAGTTGAGATTTAAGTATAATAAGCATAAAGATTGTTGTAGAATTATTTGAATTTATAATATCATGATATAATCATAGTTTAGTCACAGTTTCATTTAATATTATTATATCGAGTATGCATGTATATATAATATACTGACAACAGAGTAAGATTATTCAATGCTATTTAACTTTACTAAGATACATATATATCATTTTAAAAAATTGCTAAAATTCATATCTCTGTTTTTTGAATTGTTAGACAAATTTAAAGATTATTTTATACACATTCTTATATTATTATTATAAATTTTTAAAGGAAGGAAAAATAAGAATTGAATAGAAAAGTATTAAGTCGGAAAATTTAAATGTATGTCATGGTCCCTTGTTATAGGTACAAGTATATAAGATCTATTTATTCTGAATATAGTGGGCAAAGCTATAAAAAGTAATATTAAATATATTTCAAGCATTATATTTTGTATAACTTTTAATTCTTAATTGACATTGTATATTGGATTTAAAAAGTCAATTTTAATTACTTTTTTAATTTTTTCCTAAAAAGATAATTAAAATAATTTTGTATCTATGTATGATAGACAAAGGAAGTAATTTAGTAATTTTATAATATGTTGTGTATTTTGTTGATAAAAATTAGATCCACTGGATCATCATTAATAAAATAAATATGTTAAGAATTTTTATATTTTAATATAATATTTTAATTGTGTATAAATATTTAATATATAATTTTAATTACTGTATATATCTGCATATAATTGTTAAAATTTGTATATTTTTTGTAGTAATAAATAAGTTGAATATCATAGGACTTTTAATATTAATCCTATAAATGTTCTGGGGTAAGTGTCATAAGGTCAAACATGGTCATCTCGGTAGAAGTATTTATCACCTTCTCCACATCAAGGCCAGATCTTCTGGGAATAAAGTTCTACTCATTATGCAATGCAAAGTTTGGCTGCTTGTCATTCCCATAAACTTTCCCTTACACTGTATAAATGGTCTCTCCTTTGACACTTAATAATTAGATGACAGTGAGTTATCAGGCATCCTTTTGTTCCTTATTTTCCTAGTTGTAAACAATCTTCAAGACCTTATGCAAGTCAAGTTCCTACCATAAATCGTATAATGGTGAAATAGTGATGGGCTAATTGTCATGACGATTCCACAATTCCCAGTCTACCAAGTACAATAGTGCTAACATTTCTTTTAATTGAATAAGATGAATATCAATTGAATAACGTTTTATGTACAAATCTAATTTCTAATTAAGAATTGAAAGTAATAATATTACAAAAGATAATTTTAATTAGAGATATTTTTTACTACATAAAACATTTGATATAATTAGAGTAGGGTAATTGGATAATAAAGATTTAAGCATTAATAATTTATTGAAATTTGCAAAGTAATTTATTTATTGTATTTTTAACAGAATATTTTATTTACAGAGATTTAATATATCAAATACGTATTGATCCTTTTGTAGAGAAATGTTATATTGCTATTTATTTACAACTTCCATCTGCATTGTATGTTAACGTTAATGAATTAATTCATCTAAGGAGACTAGGAGTTGTAAGTTAATAAGATAAAATTTATATTTATATATTACTTTTTCCTTAATTATTTTACTTTTTATTATCTTTTTGAAACATAAAATGTTCTATGTGTTCCTTGCCTATTTTAGACTACAGCATGTTCTGTTGGAGAAACAGATATTGAATTATTCACAGAAAAGGCAGGAATACAAAATGTAACTATTTGCTCACATTTAACTTCTATAGAATCTACCTTAAAACTCCCAATACATCAACGTTATCAATATGCTAATGAAAATAATAGATATATAAATATTACTTTACCAAAACCAAAGTTACTATTAGGTTGCAAAGAAAGAATTAAAGAATACAGAGTTTCTAAAATTGATTTGTGCTCTCCGTGTGTAGAAATTATACCTAAATGGAGAGAGATTCCATATATCATGGTAAATGACAAACTACATTATTTCAATAATAAGTTATTTTATTTTTATCTTTATGAATAAGAAATGAATTTTAATCTTTATCTCTTGCTTGCAGAATATTGAGAATCTATGGACAACACCAGTTGGTGAAGCAAGTATGTTACGTGTAGTAACTTATATTACTTTAATATTAACAACTTTATGTACAGTATTACTTATGCAAACAATTTGGAACTCTATACCAAAACAACATTTAAAAAGAGACTAATAAGTTTTAAATAAACATTTTTACATAGTATGGTCATTGGTATTTTATAATAATAAATTTTTGTAAATTTACACAAAATTCATATATATAATTTTATAATAAATATTAAATATGATACACATAAATATTTATTTACAGCACACACATTTTAAAATCCTTTCCATATACAGTGTGAGAGAAAGTAATAAGGCACTTTACATATTTGTGTAACATGTGTAGGAAGAATGAGTAAATGTGTATTTTAGACATGTACATACTAAATATCTGCTTGGAAGAAAACACATTGACCTTTATGTTTATATGATATATAGTAAAACAGTTTCAAAGAAAAATGTAAACAAGTACAAACTTTGGTCAGACAAAATGCTAGGACACAGAATCGTGTAGAATGTCAAATAAATATATAAAGGTGAAAGACAATTTGAATCTATAAATAAACTAAGAAATCTGATTGCTGAGTAGGGAGAAATTAAACAAAGAGGTATAAAAAAATTATGCAAAAGTATACTGAAACTATAAATCTTATACAATAGTAAGGGGATATTACAAAATATTAACATGTATTGTTCAAATTTTTTTGATAATATAATTACAATAATTTGTAAAGTATTCTGTCATTTTAAAATTAGTTATGTTCTTTCTTTTGTCTAATTCCTTTGATTTATGTTGTATAATAATAAGATTTAGCATGTTTCCTTTCAAAGAAATATTCAATGTATAGTATATATTTTGTTTCTTTAAATATATAAAATACACAAATATATAAAATGTTATATTATTTTCTCACACTGTACATTCACAAATAAAACAATGATAGATTTTTCATATGCGTTCACAAATACAATAATGAAATTAATGGTACATTCTTGAATCACAGCATTTATGATACATTTTATCAATTACATATTCAGTAGTGTCATGGGTAGTATCATAACTCTTTTTCTAAATCTATCTTCTTTGTATACTTTGGTTTTTGTGTATATCCATTTTCCACTGTTGATACATTTACAGAATTCATGGTGATATCTTGTTTTTCTGTTACTGGATCATTCCATGTTTGAATTTTACATGTACCAAAGATAATAAAAATTAAATTCCCAACGAAATATATTCCAGATGTTAAAAAGAATATACTTCTCCATTCCGTAACATCAGACTAAAAATTTAAAAATAGTAAAAATTAATAAACTTTTGTCAGTTATTTAAATCGCTTAATATTTACTTACACATTATGCGAAATATATTAGTTACAGTTAATTTTAAGATTCTCAGAATACTCTATCAAAGCCGAAACATTATAATAAAAAAAACTATAATAATTTTAAATTTTTTAACAGAATCTCAACTCAAATCAATATATATTTAATAATGCAAAATTATTATTTTGACTAACAAAAAACATGAAACTTTTATTATTTTTAATTTCTCTCTAAAAGAAAGAGATTATCAATAAAATATCAATATTTTATATTTAATAGATTATAAACATGAATGTGAAATACTATATTTTTTCTTTTATATAATGCTATTTTCTATATAATTTTATTTATGTTATTATTTTTGTTATATAGTAATTTGGAAAGCATAAAATATACATTTTTTGAAAAGTAAGTATTCAATCCAATCTTTGTTGTAATTATTGGTATTTGAAAATTATATTGTCAATTATATCATATCAATTCTTGCCCAATACTTCATACTTAGACTTAATTTGCTTGGTACAAAAATTTTCAGAACATTGTTTAATAGAATGTTAACAATATTGTAAGAAAAATATTTCACTATATTGAAGTATTTCAGTGTTGTATTATAATAAATTCTTAATTTGAAAAACCAAGAATTCTATAAAAAAGCTTTTAAAAATGACATGATGTCATAAAATTTCACATAATTTAAGTAAATATTGAAATTTGAATTATTTTTATACATACCGGATCTTTGACCATGACACTGGCAACCAGTGGTGCCAAAATACTACAGATATTTGCCACAGTATTTGTAATACCCATTAAAGGACCAGCAAAGTTTGGACTAAGATCCATATGATTGACATTGTGTCCACAATAAATGGCAATATTGCTAGCTACAGCAATTATCAAAATTGCTTCTGCTACAGTGTCTTGTTCTTTGCTAATGTATCCAAAACCAAGTAATGCAATTGCTGGAACCCATTCACCGATCGTATTACAAATCTTTCTTGATGCTTGAACGGTTAAGACCTTTCGTTTGATGAGAAAATCTGATACATAGCTTATTGGAAAACTAAACAGCCATGCTACGAGGTATGGTAGTGCGCTCATCATTCCATTCTAAAACAACATACAAAATACAAGAATAAATTTAAAGATTTATACTGTAAATACTTATTTTTAGCCCTTTGCGGTTTGGGCCAAAAGACCCGTATATGTGTCTCATGTAAACGCATCGCTATGGCCACATATGTCTAGAATTTGACATCTTTAAGTGCTACAACGAAAATAGCGACTAAGCAGAAATGTGCACTGGTAATTTAAAATTCCTATCGTGATAGCAACTCGACTCCGTGGTACGGTTAACTTCGAACTATCCCGTCCGCAAAAGGTTAATAATATAGTAACTATCAAACGTGTATTGTTAAATTTTGATTTAATTATTTATGAGAGTGAAATGCTTTTAAAATGATCATGTAATAATCATTTTATAAGTAACAAATATTTGTACTAATTTTTATTGATCAATTTCATTTTTTATTTTTTCATAATGCAGAGTTTTACTCGATTTTCTAACATGAATTCTGCAGTACAGGTTTGGCAGGCTTTTCTTGGTTTTCCATTGGTTTTCACTGCCTTCGTTGCTGTGTCATTTTATCAGTCACTATCAAAATCTGATAGAATCGGTGTATACATTCTCGTCAATATTTCTCCATTTAGAGGTTTAAAAATTGTTCAATTTTGAAATATCACCGTAGAATATGTTATTTAAAGTGAATGTAATCACCCAATATGATCTGAACCATATGAACGACTCTTTCGAATTATTTAAAGGATTATATTTGCCATTAACAATAGAATTGCATATTTTTTCTTTTCTTTATCTTTAACTGTGCACAACAACATTTCGAATTAAATATAATATCTCAATTTCTAGAAAAATAGTTACTTATGTGATAACGTAAGCACGCCGGAATTCTAATTATACATGGGAATAAATCATGTCTATAAGTTCAAATATGTATATGATGTTTGTGTAAATTAAGAATGAATGTGTATTTTGTAAAAATAATTATCAGCTGAAAATTCGGAAAATGCAAGTATGAGGAACAAGTATTATAGTTAGTTACGAGCATAAATGCAAATGTTGGAATTTATTACCGTTGTTTTAAATTGTTCTATTAAAATTTCTATTAATTTTAAAATAGGACAAAATCTTTTATGTATTTCATGTTAGAAATTTATAGATTTATAAAAGGGCATATAATAGACGATAATAGAAAATGTTCAAATTATTGAAAAAGTAAAATTGTTACAAGATATTTATTTGTGCATCATCAATAACAAAAAAATTTATTCTTTGCATTACTATATATTAATATTTTCACGATTAATATTTAATCAAAATTATGAAATTATTAAAACTGTATTTTAGAAGAAACCTATTAAAGTTATGTTTTATATATTAATAATGAATAATAATACATTTGATGTTCTGATATCAAGCAGAACATTATCCTCAATTATCCTGAATATGGATCATGTATGAAAATCTTTATAATTGCCTCAAGAATATTAATATAGGATACAATTAATTTAAGAGGAATAATTCCAAAAAGTTTTTTTAATAATTTTGTGAGCAGTAGATATTTGTAATTATTATAAATAGTGATATTATACATATTCTCATGAATCTTATTATGTACTTTGTTTAATTTATAAGTGTATTAAAAAAAAATATTGGATTATGGTAATGTAAGTATGCCAAAAAATATTAGATAAACTCTATAGAAAACATTTGAAATATGGAATAGAGAAATTAACATAAGCACGTGAAAATATATATTTGATCTGCTACTTACCTTTTGAATCTTGGAATGGAAGACTGATGTGAAATACGAAGGAATCTTTGTCAAAAGCAGCCAAAAGCCCCAAGTATGAGCTGATTGAGTGGCCATTAATGCCCACATCGGACCACTAGTTAATATTTTTGCCCAAGGAGTTGATAATTTCTAAAAAAATATTATCACAATTTTATTATGATTTAACATATTCATTCATATTTCATAAAATATGTATTATCGTTGACAAGAAAAATATATATACATTAAATATTTTTCTTAAATCTATTATACTTTTCCTACAAATTTCGTAGACATCAACGTATACTAGTTTAATATAAGATATTTCTTTGACAGTAAATTTTTCAATTCTGTATTCTGCAAATTCGTAGCTTTTACTTTTTCATATCTTACAGGCTTAACCATTTTTCAATTTCTAAACAATTTTTCTGCTATTCTGCTTAAAGTAGTTTAAATATAAAAGTGATTTATATCTATAATTTTTAAATATAAAAATAATTTATATCTTTTTTTAAGTACATATTAACTAAAATGTAAAATTATGATAATTTGAGCAGAAGATTAGCCATATAAAATAAAATAAACCACGATAATGTTACCTGATCTGTTTCTATTATTCCGAGACTGCCTTCAATGTATTCTTTTTCATCTTGTGCTATATGTGGATGTTCAGCTGGTGATTCTTTACCAACAGTGAAAAACAACATGCTGGAAGTTACGGTTATAGCACCCCAAATGTAGAAGCAGCTAGGCCACCCCAAGGAAGAAGCTGGCAGTAGACCCGTACTTAATAAACAAATAACGTTCCCGATCCAGCCTCCGGCATAAACAAAGGTCGCTGTATTTTACATGTAACAAAGACATGAAATATCTTCCTTAATTACCAGCACAAAATAATTTAAATTGTTTAATTGTTTAATTTAAATTGTAACGAAATAATTATATACAATTTGTAACGAAACTAGTGATATGTACATATGTACAAGAGAAGTAGTAAGTTATAACGAGATTTAAGCCAAGTTAAATACGAAAGCATTTGATTCGATTTTTCTTATATTTACTATTTTTACTATTTTATTTAGAATTACTTCCTATTCGATATTTCGGTTTTATCATCTGTTTCGCAAAAATTAAATTTTGAAAATAATTTCCAGAACTATGATGGTCGTATTTTATTTTAATTTCAATTATAATATTTAGTTAAAATTCCATGCTTATTGTTTAGTTTTATTGCTATATAAGGTTATTTTTAGAAATATGGAAGAACTTTATTTGGTTTGGAGATGACACTGATATGTCTGTAATAATTCGGTTTTATCACCCGTTTAGCAAAAATTAAATTTTGAAAATAATTTCCGAGACTACAATGGTCATATTTCATTTTAATTTCAATTATAATATTTAGTTAAAATTCTGTGCTTGTTATTTAATTTTATTGCCATATAAGGTTATTTTTAGAAATATGAAAGAATTTTATTTGGTTTAAAGATGACAATGACATGTCTGTACTAATTTTATCATCCGTTTCGTAACAATTAAATTTTGAAAATAATTTCCGAGACTACGATGGTCGTATCTCATTTTAATTTCAATTCTAATATTTAGTTAATATTCTATGCTTATTACTTAATTTTATGCCTATATAAGGTTGTTTTAGAGATATGGAAGAACTTTATTTGATTTGGAGATGACAATAATTCGGTTTTATCATCCGTTTCGCAAAAATTGAATTTTGAAAATAATTTCCAGAACTACGGTGATCGTATTTAATTTCAATTTCAATTATAATATTTAGTTAGAATTCTACGCTTATTATTTAATTTTATTGCTATATAAGGTTATTTTTAGAAATATGAAAGAACTTTATTTGGTTTGGAGATGAGAATGATATGTCTGTAATAATCTTTTTAAGATAAAGGTCTTCTAGAAATTTTAAAAAAATTTGTATCGTATGTCGTATATTTTTACTCTTAGTAAAATAGCGAATATTTTATCGATTTTAACGATCTCTGATATAGGCCTATTCGATAATAAATAAAACAATAGAATAGCAAGCTTTATACCATAAGAGATGCTGAAGGTGATATAATAATTTGCAATATTTGATACAATATTGAAATTGTTGAATTATTTTTGATGTTATATTTATATTTCATTTAGATTCTTTAGCAGTTTCTATGATTTATATTTTTCATCATTTTTTATTATCCAAATTTCTCACTATCTTTTTATTTTTCGCGTTTCTTATCATATTTTAATATTTACGCTTCTTACTGTTTCCATATTTTGTCTTGTGTTACAAATATTTATGTATAACTATGAATAGCAGTTAATACAGAGAAAGTGTTATACGTATGAATCAAGGACTTATTGCTGTAAATACTGCAATATTACCATGAATGATAACAAGTCTGTAAATGACTTTCATAAATCCGATAGTTCAAAAGTTATGATGATATAAATATCATTTTCAGTATCTAGTATAACATAAAATTCAATGCTTTACTCCACTTACATTTATCTTTGAGTGCCTGTGTATAAGAGGTCACTGAAATCGTCTAAATATCCGCAATTATATCGAGGAGAAAAGTTTAAACAAAGAGAGAATACAAGTGACCAAAATTTCTAAAAATCTTATTATTTAAAAAAATTTTATTATTTTAAAAATTTTATTTTAAAAATTTTATTAGTTTAAAAATTTTATTATTTTTAAAATTTATTAATACTGCAATGTTATCTTCATGCTATACAATTTACATAAATAAAATTTTTCCGTATCTCTAAAAATAACAGAGTGACCTAATGTGTAATTCGATAAAAGTTTATTTCAATAACTTTGTCCAAAACCTGTTTATTTCCTTTCGATTTTTTCAAAAAATTCTGTATTTTAGCATCGAAATGAAATATAGGTTGGGAGAGTTTGAAAAAGTAGAATGCTTTTATTATCTTTTTGTGAAAAATATAATATTTGAAAAATCTGAAAAATTAATGTAAATCGATGTCATTGATTTTGAAGAATGATTTAGAGAGGACAAAATTTTAAACAATTTTTACTTTAACAATGATTGTCGCTCGGACTTAATTTCCGAGATATTTTCAAAAATTTCTGATACAAGTAAATAACCTGTATTTCGTATGTTAAAGTTCAATGTTTCGTAATCGGTGTTAGCAATAACTAATAATGAAAGGAATTCCAAATCGACAGTGTATAATATCTATTAACTGAAATTCTTTATTTCTCAGGTATGTTACCATTATAGAAACTGGAATATTTCTACTTTCTTATTCGACTGATTTCATAATTGCTGATTGAGCCACATATGCAAACTATGGAAGCAATCAGCTTATAACGATACTGAAT